GATTTACTCAGGCTGATCAGCTGCAAGGACTGATGATGCCCACTAACCACTGACCTCTGACTTACCTTGGAAGATAAGCTATGCAGGGCCCACCATATAGAGCAAGACTTACTTCATCAGGGCTCTTGTACCCACTGAGTCTACTCATTCAATGTGTCACTTGCAGAGGTGTTTGGGTGGTGGTGTTTCGATGTGGTCTGAAGCTGTCTACTGGGTGTGCTGATTCTGGGGCAAGGTCAGCCACTGCTTGTGTTCTACCAGGGGCCACCCGGCATAAGCTACAAAGTGATGTGCTGATGGCTGCTTCTTGTGCTGGGCTTGGAGGTGCCCAGGAAAAGCCAAGTTGTGAACCAAGGCTGGCTGCTTCAAGTGCAAGGCCTGGGGCCACTTAATGAGAGTTATGGGGCTTGGTGAGACCAGATGCTGCTTGTTTGAGAGATTTTAGGCAAATCTGAAGCAGGATCCAAAATAGGCCAATCCTATGGTAAAGCCATTGAAAACAGGTTGGGTGGGCCCAAAAGTTGGGTAGGGCAGGGCCTCAGTGAATCACCAAGGCGGACCAAACAGTGTGAGCTAGGCTGCTGGAGTCCCAGATACGGTGGCCATCTGCAGGCCCGTGGGGAAAGGGCTCACCAAAGAAACAATCGTCTTTGGCAGCACATCATCTGTCTGGGAGAAAGCCACCTCTCCAGTCCTTGTCTGGAGGCCAAACAACTCAGTTCTTCCCCATATGTCTCTGGTGCCTTTCAAGCTGCCTTCCCTCTGAGCTCAGAGGGAGCAAGTCCAAGTAAGTTCATGGTGGGCCCTTTAAGAAGAACTGCTTGGGACTCTAGAAGCCTCAGCCTCCCTCAGCCTCAGTTCCCTCTGGTTTTTATAGCCAGAAGTTATGGGGACTTTTCTTCCTGGCACTGGAACCCTGAGCTGGGATCCTGGTGTGGGATGGGGACCGCTCAACCCTCAGGGAGGACCTTCCTAGCTGAGGTATCCTCCTGATTTTTATCTACCACATCCATTTTATCTTTTTGCCAATTCAAACTTCAAAACAATCCTGTGAATTAGGTGTTATTATTCACATTTATTTGGATGAAGAGGCTGATGCTCACAATGGTTAAGTGAAATATCCATGGCCACCAGATAGTAAGTAGAAGAGCAAGGACCCAATCTCTCTTTTTTAAAATCCTCTCCTGAAGATAAAATGGATTTTTCCATTTATCTTCAGATAGAGTGGAAGGGGGGTAGAGACAGAGAGAGAGAAAAAGAAACACCAATGTGAGAGAGACACATCAACCGGTTGCCTGCTGCACGACCCCAACCAGGGCCAGGGACAAACCGCAACCAAGGTACAAGCCCTTGACCAGAATCAAACCCACGTCTCACTGCTCTGAGGGCCGATGCTCTAACCCTGAGCCAAACCAGCCAGGGCAAGGACCCAATCTCTTATCTTCAGTTACCACTCCTTCCACCAGACTACTGGGTAAGGACAAGAACCATATCTTTCCAACAGCTCCCAAACAGAGCTATGCACTTTGTCCACACACAACTAAAACAAACAAAAGCCCTGATAAGTGAACAAATGCTTCAACAACGATGATTGCTGACACAAATCTGTCCATTAGGCTTATCTTAAAAATAAACTCTATTCTGAAAGTAACCCTGTCCTAGCCCCCCTAGACTCCAGCTAGCCTCCTTGCTACTGCTCACCTCAAACACAGACAATACTGCTGTTGAAGTCTTTACTGCACACCATTCCTCCTCACATCAGTAGTAGTTCCTCATTAGTCACTAATTCTGAAGTTCCAAAGACAGAATAGAAATGTGAGTTTTTCTAAGTTTAATTTTTAAACAAATTTATCTGCTTCTCAAAAAACATATATATCTCCCAGATGGTTCTCTGTCTCAGAAAAGGGTAGCAGCGCTGATGCCCCCAAACTGGAATTCAACACTACAACTCACACATAAGCTATGAGACATGCCAGAGAGAGCAGAGGGCGACAGAGAGCTGTCCAACAACCCAGCACCTAGCTGAATGAGAGAAGAGTAGGTACTCCACAAATGGTTTTCATTGAATAAATAAATGAATTGCTTCATTCTGTACTCCACAAGTGGTTTTCATTGAACAAATAAATGAATTGTTTCATCCTGAGCCAGAATCACCGGTTTCACAGGTCCTGCATAGAGCAATGAATTAAGAAATTTAAAATATAAATAAATAAAAAGCAGCACCTCATAATCAGAAGCTGGCTTGGCACTCACAACTAAGGTATGTTATTCTCCTACTGGCACAAACAATCTCACAGAATACCAACCTCAGACAAGGTTATTCTGAAACCTTGATTTTGTCTGTGTAGGCACAGACAAAAATTTGGCCACTATGTCACTCATAAGATACCAGACCAAAATACGTGACTGCTACTTCCCTACCAACTATGAACAGTTCTATTCTTGTGACAGTCTCTCTTCACTATGGATAGAATTTATTCATATGGCCAATAATTTTATGACAGCATATAAAGCGAATCTTGCTTCCTTAGACCATTCTTGAATCACCAAAGTCCATATCCTATAATCGGTTCTTTCTAATACCCTCTTAAAACACCTATAGTTCTATGAGGTATGCCTTCCCTTGCTGAAAAGAGTTATAAACCCAAGTTGTTTAAGTAGTGTGTTCCTGGCAGTCTTTGGTTGGATGGCGTTCACACAGTAAAAGTCAGACGATCTAAAAGTCTATGCCTTTCTTTTTCTAGAAGCTTCTCCCAATTTGTTTGAATTCTTCAACTTATTTCTGGAAGTGATCTCTAACTACACAAAAGAGAAGTAAAAAATTTCTTTAACACCAGGGACCTGGTTCAATATTCAACTCCAATGTTATCAATAAACATACTCATGCACAAAACTTTTTGTTGGTATATAATATGCTTCCTTCTAGATAGTATGCCCTTAGAAAGCCAAATCTGTCTAACTTCATCTTTGTAAATCTGCAGTATCTCACATGTGGTAGAGGATTTCTTTTCTTTTCTTTCTTTTTTTTTTTTAGGGAGAGAGGAGGGAAGAGAGAGATAGAAACATCAATGTGAGAGACATATTGACTAGTTGCCACCCACATGACCTCAACTGGGGCAGGGACAAACTGCAACCAAGGTTTGTGCCCTTAGCGGGAACCAAACCCAGGACTCTCTGATCCACAGGCTGATGCTCTCTCACTGCTGAGCCAAACTAGCCAGGGCGGTAGAGGATTTCTTTTATGAATGGTATGAACACGTTGCTTATAAACTAGTGGTAGCTGAAATGGATGTCTCATAATTACACATAGGAAATCACAGAGAAAAAAAAAAAAAAACTATTGGAGAAAAAATATTTCTTTTTTTCCAAAAAGTTAAAAACGAAGATTTCTCTCTCCAAAAGAAAATTCCATTTTTCTCCACCTTTACATTTCTTTATTTTAACTATATTTCAAACATATAACTTCACATTTTTAAATATACCAAATACGATTAACATGTGTTCATGTTTAACAAAAATGTTTAAATCTTTTAGGAAAAAATATAAGTATGATGCATTATTTCATTTGTCCAACTGACTTCCACTTCTTTCCGCTGCCACCACTCCTTTCCCCCTAAAAACACCTTTTCTGTTTGTAGTTTTAAAAGTATCCCAGAATATTATATCTTTATTACATGACTAGAGAGGGTAGGGTCTATGGTTATTTAATTGGTCTACATAACGCTAAATTACTTAAAGAGAAAGACCGTAGTAACAGACAGGACTTTCATTTTTGATAGCTGGAAAAAGCATTCTCTAGAAAGAGGCTTCGATCCCCATATACAAAAACTTTTTCTTCCTTTTTTTAAGACACCCTGAAACACAGAAGAGCCAGCAAAGAACATTTATTCACTCTCTGAGGCAAAAGTATAATTCAGCCTGGTTTAACACATTAAATGACATACCGTGCAATACCACAGCCTACTTAAAGGCACTCTGGCCAGTATTGTCTTTTCTCTGTCAATGGGAAAGCAGGTTTACATTCCAGATATAAAGATTAAGAGCAACAAATTAAAGTTCACACTCAAAGAGCACCCATGCTTTTGAAAGACAATATGGCAGATAGGCTGATATCCAAACATAACCTCAGAGGGAGTTTAAGTGGAATGAAGGTTACAAAGTACCATAGATGTTAAAAAGGATAGGGAGTAAGGATGACTGTAGAAAGAACATTCCAGACAGAAATTTCAATTCCTCAAAGACTGCAATCCTGAACAGTCTGGACAGAAACATGGGGATTCTCAGATCCAGAGATCTCCACCACTGAGGAGGTCTTAGCTTGTTTACACAGGGAGCCAATGAGATCAAACATAAATTGCTCAATATAACTTAAGATAAATTTTAAGTTCTCTATTCAACTCAGCAAACCTGACCTCACAGCCTTAAGAATACAGGGTAAAAATCATTTTTTCGAGATCTTCTGGACTTTAAAACTAACAAGAATGATTTCCATTACTAACCGGTTGGGGGGTGGGTGTGGTCTCTCTGAGGGAGCGGCAGGCTTAGTGAAGGTCCGACGGGACTGGTTGGACCACTCAGGTCAGTTCTAGACGTCCAGCCATGGCCCATCAAGCCACTGTCACACTACGCCCTTCGCCCAACGAGCTCACCCCACGCCTCCAACGGCCTCGGCAAACCCAAGCCCTAACCGCCAGACATCCAGGGCCTGGCTCGGGTTCCATCAGGCCAAAGACTACGAACAAAGAGGAGGCCGGGGGCAGCACCCGAGGGTGCATGCAGCCCTCAGGCCGTCGTTCCCCGGCCCTGCGTGTTTTCCTCGACAAGGGCCAACTCCTACCCGGGACTGGACGCCGTGAGTGCACCACGTCCTGGATCCCGTTGGCGCACTGCAGACTCTCCTGCGCGCATCGAAACAAAGAAGCAGAGGGTCCGGGTGGCTCCGGGTCAGTCCCAGGAGACCCAGCCCTGCGCGCGTCCCGCTGCCCGGACCCGGCCTTTACCTGCACGTCACTCAGCTCCACGCGCAGATACAGCTCGCGGTGTCGCTGAGCCCAATAGACGTGCGGCGTCAGCACCTGGTTCTCCATGGCCACACAAGCCCAGGGCGCAGGGAGAAAATGCTCGCTGCGCCTCGTTGCCTCTGGTAGTGCGCGGGTGGAGCCGGTGAACGCAGGCCGCAAATCCCGGCGCTCCTGAGGGCCCGCAGCCGGCGGCCTCCAGAGGCTCCACGCTCTCCGGCCGCACTTGCGCAATGATGAGCCGGGGATGGCGCGGGCTCCGCAGTAAGGCGCGAGCCGGGTGAGGGAGGGGCGGGGCGGGGCGGGGCGAAGGCGGGAAGGGGCGGGCCCAAGAGCGTGAGACGCCAAGGCTGGCTGCAGCATCCCGGGAGTTGCAATCAGCAGGTGCACCACGCTTCTCTGTGTTCTTGAGGACCATGCTTATACATAGCTTAAAATAAAAAATGCTGGGAAAAACAAAAAAAAATTTTTTAAACAAAGAAGCTGGTCAGCGTGAAAGAAAGGGCGACGAACTGGTGTATCAGGAAGGTCCCTACCATTCTATCACTCATTAAACATTTACTGAACGCCTACTTTTGTGCCTGGGCCGCAGTGCTAGACTCTGGAGCTACAGCAATAAGAAACAGTCCTTGACGACCTGGAACCCTCAGTCCATTCAAAGACGCAAGTAATTACAGACACCATAAGAATGATGATGTATGTTATGAGGGAAGCAGTGTGGAAAGAAAATTAGAGTGTTCTCAGAGGGGAGACAAAAATGGAATTTATATTTCAGTTCTGTTAGCACTCATTTGCTTACCAAAGTGCTGAGTACAGGGATACAGAGATGAAAGAGGAATGATGCCAGCTCGGGGTTTATTTTTTTAATATTTTTATTGATTTTTAGAGAGAGAGGAAGGGAAAAGGAAGGAGAGAGAGAAACATGGATGTGAGAGCAGTGTGCATCCCCCCATCCACCCACCAAGGATTGAGCCTACAACCTAGACATGTGCCTTAACTGGGAATTGAACCAGCAACCTTTTGGTGTATAGGAGGACAACTGAGCCACACCAGCCAGGACATAAAAACTATAGAGGGTTTTAATATGGGCAATGTGCTGAGTTCACAAAGGCAGGAAGGTAGGAACTGAGGGTTGTAGAAACCATGGGCGGCCTTTTGAAAGGGAATCCTTGAGAGCTGGACAATGAAATGTGAGGAGGAATTTGATAGAGGAAGAAGCAGAAGTAGGGCAGTGAAAGTATAGAGCAGGAGTCCAAAGGTGAAGAGATGTGGCAGGTTTGACTGCTGGCAGTTAAGGATCTGGAAATGCAGGTAGGGAGTAGATTAGAAAAGTCTTTATTTGCTTCAGTGAGGTGTTTGTTCTGTATCCCACAGACACATGGGAACAAAAGAAGTTTGTTAAACTTAGATTAGCAAAATCAGAGATGTGCTCAGCAGGAACTGGTAGTAGGCATATCAGTTGGAGGTGATATAATCTGCCAGATATGAGATAATGAAAGCAGTAACCTTGATAGCCTTGAATTTTAGAAATTAAAACAAACTTTTAAATGATAAAAGTGCCTTGGCCCAGTGGCTTAGTTGGTTGGAGTGTTGTCCTGTACATCAAAAGATTGTGGGTTTGATTCCTGGTCAGGGCACAAACAGGAGGCAACCAATAGCTTCTTCTCTTTCACATCAATGTGTATGTCTCTCTCCCTTCCTCTCTCTTTAAAAACAAAAAACAAAAAAACAAATTAAAAAAACATATCTTAGGGTGAGGATTAGAAAGAAAAACATGATAAAAGTATTTTAACTGTGTTGTCTTTACTATAACGCAGATCAAATATAGGATTCTTTTTAAAATTTGAACTATAACTTGCATATAGGAAATGGGCGACTTTTAAACGTTCAGTTTAAGTTGAATTGTTACATACTTTTATATTTGTGTCATTAATTACCACCCAGATCAAGATCTGGAATATTTCCAACATCCTAGAGGTCCTCTAATGTCAGTATACTTTTGCCTCCCAGCTGTCCCCCAAATAATTGCTAAATAATCACTATCTTGACTCCTTATCACCAGAGTATTTTTGTCTGTTCTTGAGTTTTGTATAAATGGAATCTACATTATGTACATTTTTGTGTGTGGCTTCTTTTGTTGGGGGCAGCAAGAACGGCACCAGGTGTTAGACCAGTGGCGTTAGGACCTGGCTTCAACAACCTTGGTACTTGAGTCCAGCTAGGAAAGAATTCAGAGCCAAGACTCACACTATAAGAGAACACTTTTTTGGAAAATCACAAAGGTAGAAGAAGAAATTTATAGAAGAAATGGGCTTAGGAAACAAGTTATAGAGGTAAAGGAAGGGACCTTGGAGCTTAGGAATGAGGAAGGTAAAGATGAGGCACCTGGCCCTGGCCGGTTTGGCTCAGCGGTTAGAGCGTCGGCCTGCGGTCCTGAGAGACCCGGGTTCGGTTCCCGCGAAGGGCATGTACCTCGGTTGCAGTTTGTCCCCGGCTCTGGTCAGTCGTGCGGGTGGCAGCCACTCGATGTGTCCCTTTCACATCGATGTTTCTCTCTCTCTCTGTTCCTCTCTCTCCCACTCTACCTGAACAACAAAAAAAAAAAAATGGAAAAAAAAAAAAAGATGAGGCACCTGGGTCCAGGGGGTGAGGGAAAATGGCGGCAGAGTGAATGGAAGCTGCACAGACCATCTCCCAGGACCAAATTGGAATTACAACGAAAATAAAGACAAATCGTCAGGAAGGGGCAACCAAAAGGCATCTTGGAGGACCACATAACCAGGGACACTAACTCAATCCTGGTAGGCTTGCGAGGACGCGAGAGGGGGCTGGTAGCCCACGGTCTGCAGCAGCCTCGGCTGGGACCTGCGCCCTCAGCTGGGACCTGTGGCAGCCTCAGCTGGGTCCTGCGGCCTCTGCTGGGAGCTGTGCCCTCGGCTAGGTGCTACACCCTCGACTGGGAGCTGTGCCCTCGGCTAGGTGCTACACCCTCGGCTGGGAGCTGCCGCAGCCTCGGCCGCCCTTAGCTGGGAGCGGCGCCCTCTGGTTAAAGTCCCAGGCGGCTCCACGGCACAGAGCCCCCACAGAGGCTAAATTGGCAGCAGCCACCCACCTTGGGCTCTGGCAGAGGAAAGGCAGACTGGACTGGAACTGTGTGGGGACACTCGGGATTTGGAGGGCGCTCAGAGCTTTTGCTGAATGCAGCCACGCAGAACTGTGGTCATCTTACTCCTTCCCAGGGCCCTGGGGACAGGCGGCCGCCCCTTCCTCGGAGATTCAACCCCAAAAGGTGGCCATTGAAATGCAAATTGAGGTCCATTAACAACCAGCATCTGCCCCAGCCTCCAAAAATCCTCTTACACTGAGCACCTGAGGGACTTTTCAGTCAACTCAGAAACCAAGGTTCTTCAAGTGAACACTACTGATAGCCTCCAAGCAAAAAAGCTAGAGGATAACTACCATTCCCAGGGCGAGCAACTCTAACCAAGAAAGTAAAACTTGACAGTGGTGTTTAAAGTGGGTCTTCTCTGTCTCATCCAACCCTGGAGAGGGAGCCACAAACAGCAGAACACCAACACCCACAGGGAAAATTTGGCAGAATTTTAGCCAAAATGGTGATAGCCAAAATGGTGAAACACAGAAACAAAAGCCAAATGAAAGAACAAGAGACCTCTACTGAAGATGAGATAAATGAACTGCAATTAAGCAAGTTAACAGAACTAGAATTCAGAGCCATGATCTTGAGGAAGCTCAACAGCACGTGTAAGGACATGAGCACCATGAGTAAAGACATTGGAATATTGAAAATCAACCAGTTGGAAATTAAAAACCACCAAGAAGAAATGAAGAATGACATATCAGAAATAAAAAAACACATTGGAGCCATGGCCGGTTAGAACATCGGCCTGCGGTCCGGAGAGACCCTGGTTCAGTTCCCGCTAAGGGCACATACCTCGGTTGCAGTTTGTCCCCGGCCCTGGTTGGTTGTGCGGGTGGCGACCACTCGATGTGTCCCTTTCACATCGATGTTTCTCTCTCTCTCTTCCTCTCTCTCCCTCCCACGCTACCTGAACAAAAAATGGGAAAATGTCCTCGGGTGAGGATGATTAAAAAAAAAAAAACACACATTGGAAAGTCTAAATAGCAGAGTAGAGGAAGCTGAGGACCGGATCAGTGAATTAGAAGGTAGGGTATAAAAAAATCAACCAATCAGAAAACCAAATGGAAAAAATAATTTAAAAACAGGAAAACAGTTGTGTGGGACAACTGGAAAAGTAATAACATTCGCATCATAGGAGTCCCCGAAGAAGAAGAAAATGAGCAAGGGTTAGAGAATATATTTGAAGAAATAATGACAGAAAACTTCCCTAATTTGGTGAAAGAAGAAGGCATTCAATTTCAAGAAGCACAGAGAGTCCCAAGTAAGAAGAACCCAAACAGGCCCACACCAAAACACATAGTAATCAAAGTACCAAAAATTAAAGACAAAGAGACAATCCTTAAAGCAGCAAGAGAGAAACAACAGGTTACCTACAAAGGAAACCCCATAAGACTCTCAGCTGACATCTCAACAGAAACACTACAGGCCAGAAGGGAATGACATGAAGTAATCAAGGTCATGAAAAACAAGGATCTGAATCCAAGACTACTCTACCCAGGCAAGGCTATCATTCAAAATAGAAGGTCAAATAAAGAGCTTCCCAGACAAAAAAAGGCTAAGGCAATACATTAGTACCAATCCACCACTGCAAGAAATGTTAAAAGGATTGCTGTAATTAGCAGGAGAAATAGGAAGAAAAATATAACCACACTAAACAAAAATGGCAATAAATAAGTACATATCAATAATCACCTTAAATGTAAATGGACTGAATGCTCCCATAAAAAGACACAGAGTAGCTGATTGGATAAGAAAGCATGACTCATCTATATGTTGTTTACAAGAGACCCACCTCACAACAAAAGACTCACATAGGTTAAAAGTGAAGGGATGGGAAAAAATCTTCCAAGCAAACAGAAAGGAAAAAGAAGCTGGGGTAGCAATACTCATATCTGATAATATGGATTTCAAAATGAAGGCCATAACTAGAGCAAAGAAGGCCACTACATAATATTGAAAGGATCTATCCAACAGGAAAATATAACCTTGATAAACATATATGCACCCAATATAGGAGCAACAAAATATATTAAAAATCTTCTGGAGG